ATATGATAAAATAAATTAGTCATACTAGGTATTTTATACTAAAAATAATATATTTGATACAGTTTGGTGCATATTTATTAAGATTATAAAATAAAATAGAATGAAATATGAACATATAAAGAGTAATTTACTATAGCAATAATTGTGTCATGAACTAATGTGTATGTTATCTTATAACAAAATAAAAATATGTAATTAATAAATAAATACCTTGGCCAACTCAACACTAAGATTATGTGATCTAACCCTAGCAGGYATGTTGCTTTCWTCTTGGTACATATCAATGTCATTATTTATAAACCAATCCTGTAGAAACAATAAATATTGAGTAATTGCAGTTACCATGAAAAAAATTCTTAAAAAAGCTAAATAAAATCTAAAAGTTAGTATAGGTATCTTATACCTACTAAAAACTAAAATTGGTTACAAACTCAAAATAACTATATATATATATATATAAGTAGTAGGTAACAAACAATACATATAGGTAATATATTTACCAATTATATAAGAGTTTTATATATTAAGTGTTTATGGTTTTAAAATTCCTCAAAACATGATTGTTTTTTTAATTTGAAGCTACTCAAGAACAAGATAGTTTAAAGTTAAAAATGACAGTGTGGTCTAACGTTGCTTTTGACAATAAATAAATGAACAAAAGATGCAAATATCAAACCTAACATATACTATATATATATATATATATATATGTATACTATAAAGATATCAGATTCCCTACTTTTAAACCTATGTTACCACTGAGCATTTAAAAGTAATGATAATATGATATCTAATTGATAAAATTAGTAGTAAAGCTCACATCATAAAAATGTGTTGAATAAGTATATTTTATTTTAGTGTACATAGCTACTTACAAGTTTTGATATTTACCTAATAAAATTAAATATGGATGATGGGAATTATAAAATGTGTTAACTTTAGAGATAAATGTTCAATTTTCAAAGTTTTAAAGCACTTATGAAAAAAAAAAATCTATTGAAATATTATTCTTAAATAGTTAATATACATATATCAAATAAATAGATACATGTATTATTTGATTATTTTACATTGCCTACCTATTTATTATTAAATTTTTTTTTAGTTATATTAGTAATTATGTATTTAATAATAAAAATGAATAGTAATTTTACCTGTAAGAAACGTACTACTTCAATATATAGAAATGATACAGGGATT